GGGGGAGAGGGGGGGGGGTGAGCTCCGGGGGAAGTGGGGGTGAGGGGGGTAAATACAATAAACTACAGTGTGTTATATTTCTCTATCTACACTTCACATGATTAAAATATACATTCAGTCATATAATAACAGAACTGACATATAACATGAGTAAAATGAACAAATAAACAAGAATATATATATATACATATACATATACATATATATATATATATATATATATATATACAGCACATATAAAATAATTGGCCTGATAACTGTTCTGGTTCCATTCAACAACAACAACAAAAAGAAAATAAATCATAAAACAAGGATAGTATTACTGCGTTTGTGTAGTAATCAAGCAATACCTGCATTTTTCTGTGTAATTCCAGAAAGTACACAATGTCAATATTTGTAGTATTTTTAATATTTCTATTAGACTTATTTTTTGGGGGGGGTGAAGGGAGGTTGTTGCCGTGACTTTCCTCCATAAGAAAACACATATTAATGTCCTTCATGAGTTAATCTAATATTTATTATTATTATTTCTACAGAGGCTAACGCTACAGTAGCAGGTGATGCTAACAGAGGCCTGCGGCCGAGTGAGGCACAGATGTCGGTGCTGTAGATGCTACAGACTCCGCTGTTTCATACCGTTCTTTACTTAAGATTCGTGTTGGGTTTGTTTTTTGTTTTTTAATGTAGAATTTACGTTGAATTCTGCTGCTCTGTTTGAGTGTGTTGTCGTTGCTGCTTATGTGTTCCGATGGCGCCATCTTTAGGTAAAAATGGCTGCTGTACTAAGATACTGCATATGAATAGCCGATAAAAAACGTTTTTCTTTTAAAAGAAACATCCATTTTATATCACCAGGAAATGTTTAAACACAAGAGACGAGTATTTTAAATATTATTTAAATGGCGTAAATGTTTTTTACCTTGTTGTTTCCTGAAGGGCCGTTTGTTTGTTTGAAGGGAAGGAACTCATGTTTCTTTACAGACATCGTGTGGTTCATGCAGGTGTTTCTGACGTTAAGTTTCACCATGAAAAGTGTCGACAACTCTTTTTTGTAGTTTTATTCATTATTTGTTGTGTCGAAGTCACTTCTACTCGTCTTTAACTTTCTTTCAGTCTTTACAACATCACTCCAAACATTTTGTTTCGCCGCGATATTTGAATCCTGTCCGGACATGCGCAGTAAGATGGAACAGGGCGGAACCGGAAATGATTATGATCGCCCAAACATTCTGAAGCTTTTGTCGCATAACGTAATATTTGTAATATTTCTCTTTCAAATAATACTTTCCTAATCCTTAGTTTAAGACAGTCGTTTGTGTAAACAATGAATGTATTTACAAAACGCTTAGTTTCATGAGGCGTTTATGGTCCCTTGAAATTTCACTATTCAAAACAAATGTTTGGGGGTTTTTTTATATTATTTATAGTTCGTCCGATGGTTTTTACGCAATACTTTAAATACTGTACCTTTCGTATAAAGTTCTATGTGAGAAAACTAAAAACGTTTGTGTGTTCTGTTCTCATGTCCCGTAGATCCAAACCTGCTTTTAAGAGTATGTTTATTTAAGCTGCCAGGAAAAATACAAAACTTCATCAACAAATAACGACTACAGGCTGAAAGGAAAATTAAATTAAGGCTGAAAAAAATGACTCCATATTAGTGAGAGACACAGAGACAGACGTTTAACTGTAGTGGTGACAGGAATAAAGACTCACAGATCAGACAACTGCAGTATTTTGTTTTACAGAAAACGTGCTTTGTCAGAATGAGCAGCAAACCAATCATCATGCACAAAATATAAAATATCCAGACGTACAACGATTAGAATGGAGCTCACACTGAGTCACAGCCAGCGGCACGTCGACTACATTTAAATGAATATTTTAAAAAACTAAGACTTTAAAGCATCACATTATGACAAACTAAATAAACTCATAACTTGCTCATGACAAGACTTGAAACACATCCTAGATCATGTTCAAAGAGTTGGAAGTTCATTCCCTAGAGTTGATTTTTATGTGAAAAGAGATTTGACGTCAGTGTGAAGTTAAAACACTTTTATTCACTCATGATTCACCAGCCATTCACACTCACATTCACACCCAAAGTCAATCCAGAGTGTAGTTTGTGGACAGTGGGATGAAGTCCCTGAAGGAAACACACACATAAAGAGAACATGCAAACTCCACCGGGGAATTGAACCATTGACCTTTTACCTGTAAGGCAGGAGTACTTGACTCATGAAGCTGTTCTTCCTTGTTAATGAACTAAATGTCTTCAATGAACAAGTTAAGAGCACTGTTGAAGAAACTCCTTTAAATAATAAATAATCCTAATAAAAGAACGTTAATAAACTATTCCTGTAGGGGGCAGCCATGTCATTCAGGCTTGTGGCGTCGTCTCAGGCCAGATGCATCAAAAACCTTCTCAGTATCTGTCTCACAAGAGTCTTCTAGTGAAGGCATCAGCTCACAGTCCTCCTCCTCTTCCTCCTCCTCCTCCTGCTCGTCTAAAACATCTTTTGGCTTCACCTCCTGGTCACAATCCTCAGGTACAAGCTCCTTCATCTCCTCCTCATCTTCTTCTGTAGCATCTGAATGTGTCTGATAGATTTTCTCCATCTCCTCTGCCGGTCCAGGCGTCTCACCGTCCGACAGCGTGTATTCACTGGCCCCGAGAGACTCGATCAGGTTGTCAAGGTTACGCTCACAGGACGCCTCTGAAAAAATAAATCAAAGTGTGACAACTGAGTAACACTGATATTATATTACATTATCATAATATTATATAATATTATAACATATAATATATATGAAGTTTTTTCTATATATTTCTGGATCAGAAATACCAATATGAGTAACGCCGACATTATATTACATTATCATATTATTATATAATATTATAACATAATATATGAAGTTTTTTCTGTATATTTCTGGATCAGAAATACCAATATCAGCAGGTAGGTGTCAGTGTTTCTCACTATTCTGTTCTATCTTTGACTGATCCAAATGATGGAATTATTATTATTTTTAATTATTAAGAAAAAACGTCCAACAGTCGCAGTGAAAGTGAAGGTGTGTGTGAGTCCACACATCCATACATGTTCTCATGACTCTCGTGTCCTGCTTTGACCTGTGTCTGGATCTGACGGACATGTAAAAGCTGTGGTGAAGTGAGTCCAGTCTTCATGTAAATCACTGTAACAACAACAACAACAACAACAACAACAACACACTCTTGGGGTTTTTTTCGTTTACTGTCCAACGTTCTGGTCGATCTGCTCTGATTTTCTGGCAAACGAAGTGTGAAACTGGATGCAAATCATCTTCCACACTGGTGAAGCGGCGGCTGAGTTCACTGCACCGTGATTGGACGGCCACACTGAGCAGCATTATCATCATGAAAAATAAACACAGAGGACGTTGGTGCCCACCGTTGAGGTTGAGGGGGGGGCAGTCCATCCCTCTCTTCTTCATCAGGTACCGGATGGTCTGTAGCTGAGACATGATCTCAGTCTTCTGCTCCTGGGCCACGGTCTTCACACTAAACAGGAAGGACAAGTTCAGAACACAACAGCCAATCAGGGGGCAGATGGTTGGGGTCATTATACAATGACCCCAACCATCCTAACAGATAATTATATATGTGTACATATATATTTCTCTCATGTTTTCCTGTATATGTCCAAGCTTAAGTTTAACGGTGGAAATTCCAACATTTGTGTGCAACTTGAACGCACCATTAGCTGCAGTCACAAACAGAACAGAACTCCTCTGTTTTACCGGCGATGTTTGTCGCCTCGTGTCGTCACCAACTGAACTCATCGGCAGGAAATGTTTCATTAGCGACTGCTACACTTCCCAAACCAATCAGTGCTTCTCCAGAACCAAACACTACAGGGATCTGGGCTGTGGTTCCTGCAGTGAGGATCCAGTTTCATGAAACCTGACACCAGTAAACACTCACCAGTTGGTCAGAGGGTCCAGCTGAGTGAGGATGGAGTTGAGCATCCTCTCAGTCTGAGCCAGCCGTTGTTCCAGCTCGTTCAACTGGTTTTCTTCATCATCATCATCATCATCGTCGTCGTCGTCGTCATAAAACAAACAAACCAGTCCAGTTCAGCTCCAGTGACAACCAATCAAATCAGCAGAACTGAAACTGAACGGCTGCTCACCGACCTGCCTCGGCGGATTTCTTCGCTCCTTTGGTCAGTTTGTCCTTCTGTGCCTGGTCGTCAGCTGACTTGATCTGAAGGTGGAAAAAAAAAAAGGTTCAACAAATAAACAACGGTCATTTGGTCGCAGTCTTATTGTCAAGAATCTGGTACGATACGTATCACGATACAGGGGCAACGATACGATATACTGCGATATATACTGCGATACTACAGTCACAACAATATTAGGTTACAGTACAGACATCTGTGAGGTAACCCTACTGTACACCTGCCTAAAACTTTTGCCCTGACGTCTGACCTCACCTTCAGAAACTTGTAGGCCGCAAACACGCCCACTCCGATGGCGTAGAGCGGCATCAGCGTGAAGACGTAGCCCTTGTTGTTGCTGTTTGACTTGAACTTGTCGCTGTTCTTCATCTCCTGCTCCATCAGCTTCTTCATCTGCTGCATGTTCTCTGGGCTGGGACCGGACCCATGGACGGCCTGACCTCTGACCCCAGCCGGTCCAGGACCTGTGTACAGAGAAAGGACGAAGTCGTCACGTTAGCTGCTGTGCGTTTAGCAGTTCCGTATTCAAACCGGAGACCAGTGACGGACACTGGGATTCAGCAGCAGAATTATCGGTTAATTTTTGTAAACACATTTTAAACCAAACATAATCTCTTGGTTAATTTACTGATTGTGACTGATACTGGTTCTGATCCATTCCAAATTCTATGGATTGGTTATTAAATGTGGGACTTTTAGCCTGATCTCTTTGGGAAGGTGTGTCTGTGGGGGGGGAGGGGGGAGTCTTAAAAATATACAAAATTGGATAAAAAACTGTACAAAATCATTCCCTGTTTAGCGGAAGCCCCGGTGTGAACAGAGCAGCGCTTTAACCAACGTAACGGTGGCTAACGCTGTTCTAAGTTTCAGCTACAGTTGTGTCTAATTCTTAACCATTTCCGGTTCGGTCTCTCCGGTCTCTCAGCCTGTCTCCTAAGTGGACTTTTACTTTGAGGACGCTTAAAGAGTGAAAAACGACCCGTACTGTAGTAAAATGTCCGGGCGTAGGAACCATGTCGCTGTGGTGCGTCTTCACTTCACCACCGCAGCCAGAAGTGGCCTTAAAACCGTTCCACACCAACCTTTTCTGGAATATCGAGGGTCCATCCTCGTGTCCTTCGTCCCGGCTCCGCCGCCGACCCCGAGCATTCTGGGCAGGACGACGAACGTAAACAGCACGGCCGTGAAAGCCAAGGCGACTTGTTGTGATGTTGACAAAACCATCCCGCCTAGTGTCGCTGTGAAGCCACGGTACACGGGCCGAACACCGCTGACAGTCGGGGTGTGAGGGGCCGGAGGACGGGGTGAAGACAGGGAGGGGACACCGAGCAGCTAAGAGGCTGGGGGGTGGACGCAGTCTGACATTTGAGAAGAAAAAGCAGCCTGTTCCGAGGAAAACAGCTGCGTCCCTCTGCGCACGGAGATCACTTCCGGTTAAACAATTCACAATAAAAGTAAAGAAAGCGGAAACAGATGGAAGTTTTAAAGTAAATAAACCCTTTTAACTTGTCTTTTTTTAGACATGGGTTGACGTGTGTCGGTTTCCCGACAAAATGTGTACGGAATCACGAAAGTTAAAACCAGAATGTAGACCGGAAGTAATCGTAATCATAAATGTATGGACGTAGAATGTGCGCATGTTCAGAAAAGGACGTGAGAAGTAGTATGTTGTTTTTGTTTATATAAACATAAAAAAAGGTTAATTCGCAGGTTATTCAGTGCAAAATCTCAGTGAAACTACAGGTGTCGCTATATTCAACATTTTGAGGTTTATTTGTTTTGTTTTTTTCGAACGTTGGGTCAGTGAACGCAGCAACACGTTTTGCTTTGACGGGATATTATTATTATTGTTATTATTATTATTATTTTGACATAGCTCAGTAATAAACAGAAGTTCAGTCTCTGCTCTTATCAACACTGCCATCTATCGACCCAGTCATGGTCATTACACCTTCCTGTGACGTTTGTGGTTTATTTTCTTGCAGATGGAAAACAAAGACATAAGAACGATTTAGGCGTCGATTGACTGACCTTTGACCTTGTCAAACTACACATGCATTTATGCCACAGCACTGACGTCACAGTGAGTAACTCAGTGTGTTACTGTGTTACTGTGTTACAGCCCTGGAGGCTGTGACAGACCTGTTTCCTCTTTATTTATTTTTTGACTTGTTTTAACTTTATTGCTGCTCGGCTCAGAGATGAGCAGCGCGGCATCTGCTTCCTCCTCCAAGGTGTCATTTCCTGTGTCACGGTGACAAAACCACAGCTTCTGCTTTTTTCAGTCGTGGAAACCCGTCCTTCAGTCATGGTTCTGGTTGTGGCGACCACCGTGTGGTGGACCTGGACCGTCCTGGATGTGGCCGCAACCTCCTCAGTCAAACTGCCACAGATCAGCGACCGCGCGTTCATCGATGAGTGTGTGACGGAGCACAACAAGGCGCGGACATCCGTCAGTCCGCCGGCCTCCAACATGCTGTACATGGTAGGTGACGGTGACACTAGGTTGAACACTGCAGCAGAGCAGGGTTCATGTTTGAGTTCATGTGGATGTGAATGTTAATATAGTTTACCTGGTTAATTAAGTGAATTCATATGATCAAAACTGAAGTGGAAAAAAAGAGCAGAAGATTTTGAAAGATTTTGTTTCCACAGACGTGGGACGAAGGACTGGCCGTCACTGCCAGAGCGTGGGCCAAACACTGTACGTTTGAACACAACATCTATCTGGACGACGCCCGCAGGATGCACCCCACCTTCTCCTCTGTGGGCGAGAACATTTGGACGGGTCACCCACCGTCAGAGTTCGTGCTCAAGAACGCAATAAAACACTGGGTTGACGAGAAAATGTTCTACAACTACTCTGAGAACAGCTGCAGTAACATGTGTGGCCACTACACACAGGTCTGCACTGACTGAGTGTGTGTGTGTGTGTGTGTGTGTGTGTGTGTGTGGGCGGGGCGTGTGTGACGTGATAACAACAAATCCACCTTTACTGATGTACCATACAGAAAAGTTGTGCTCAAACTATGGTATGTGTACCATTTGTTGTACTTTGTCTCCCCCTTGTGGTAGAAAGATGACAGTGTCTGCTTGAGTCCAATTAAATGATAAGAAATGTTTTTTCTTTGTCAACAGAGTTCAGTTCTGGCGTGTGTGACCCGCCTCTCACTTCATAAACGTTTCCGTCTCGTCTGTCCTACAGGTGGTCTGGGACCAAACCTACAAGGTGGGCTGTGCCGTGGAGCTGTGTCCCAACGGTGTCCGTCAGTTTGACCACAGACCGTCAGTTCTTTTTGTCTGTAACTATTCCCCAGGGTAAGTTATTTGACATGAACTCAACATTGAACTGAGTAGGAATGAGAAGATATCTATACACAGCTACACTGGGGGGGGGGGGGGGGGGCGGTGACCTGACTGTAGTATCACAGTGTATCCTGTGACATGCTAACAGCTGATTGGTCCCTCCTACTGGTCACAGTCACATCTTCTTCTTCTAACACAGTTCCCCTTGAACGTAACATAATGTATTTTTTAAAAAATTGTTATAAAAAAACGTTTTAATACTTTAGTTTATGAAACTGCTGCACAGACTTTATTAACTGTCTTTTTAAGCTCCTGACGGGCCACACACAATGACGTGGCTGCATTTGGGCCCCGGGCCTTGGGTTTGACAACAGTTCCAGACTTTGAACAAGGACATGAAACCAACAGTGACTTTGGTTCCTGTCATTGTTCTGTCTTTTAAATGCATTGTGACACAGAGGTCATTAAGCGTCACCTGACCTCTGACCTCTGACCTGACTCTCCCGCCTGTACAGCGGTAACCTGAACGGACGTCGACCGTATGAGTCCCGGGGAGCGCCGTGCTCCGAGTGCGAGGACTCCTGTGAGAACAAACTCTGTCGTGAGTGTTTACGTCACCTCACCCCGCAGTACCTGAGTACACGAAGTAATACTTTAAATAAAATGTACTTTTTAAAAAATATCTCCACAGGAAACAAAGAGCGAGACACGGAGAGAAGTGAGTAACGACAAAACACAAATACACATTTTAATATCTCTTCTCTTCAGGATCAACAGAAATGATTGTACACAGTACTGCACAAAGTACTCCACGACACCACACAGTACTGTTTACAGTACCCAGTACTGCACTGCAGGTCATAGTTGTTTCAACAACCCTCTCCCCCCAGGATACACCTGGAGACCAGACTGGGACCCCAGCCCAGAGACCAGGTACCTGGACATCCTGGTGGTCCGACCCGTGGCCCTCATTTGTACCTTCTTGGCTGCGTACGCTGCCCACTACTTCTACCCCAACGCCTTTTGCTACGAGTAGACCTCAGTCTGTAGACCTCAGTCTGTAGACCGACAGTCTGTAGACCGACAGTCTGTAGACCGACAGTCCGTAGACCGACAGTCCATAGACCTCAGTCTGTAGACCTCAGTCTGTAGACCGACAGTCTGTCCAAAACAGCCATACAGAAGATGAAGAAATGTTTGTTCTTATTTTTTTTCCCCTGACTTTTCACACACGTCTGAGGACAGAACAGAAAATATAAATATTGAAACAGACAAACCTGGAACAAAAACAGTGATTCGTGAACGGATCCTGTGACAATTCTACAAAACTGTTTAAAAAAAAAAGAAAAAATAATAAAAAATTCTACAAAGTCAAAAAGTCTGAGTTCTGGTCCAGATCCAAAGACTGGTCCCTGCTCCGTCCAATCACTGAAGACTGTCGTGTTCATCAGAGCCGCTGAAGTTATCCTTTACCCTTAGCTTTCTTCTTGTTAGCATTAGCATTAGCAGCAGCAGCAGCAGGGTTGAGTGGAGGAGCGCCCAGTTTCTTGGTCTTGGCCTTCTGTACTTTGGCTTTGATGGCTTCGATGTCCAGCTGTGTATCTGCTGCAGCTGCAGGAGGAGGAGGAGGAGGAGGAGGAGGAGGAGGAGGAGGAGGAGGATCAGTGATGTGCTGGTGTCAGCAGGGTCTCTTTACCTGTACGTGTGTGTGAAGTTTTACCTTTGTTGCTCTTCATCATTAAAGGCTTTTCTTTTGGAGGAATGAAGGCTTTGTTTCGTTCTTCCTGTTTCTTGGTCAGAGCCTCGGTCTGTTTGACCTGAGAAGAGGAGGAAGAGGAGGAAGAGGAGGAAGAGGAGGAAGAGGAGGAAGAGGAGGAGGAGGAAACAACGCTGGTGTTAAATCAGGAGTTCACATATATATATATATATATATATATATATATGTGTATATATATTTTTGTTATGTAAAACATATACTTGTGTGTCATGAACGCACCTTGATTTCCTCCATCTTCTTCCTCCTCTTCACACTTTCACGGAGGAAGAATTCTCCCGTGGCCAGTTCTCTGTCCACCTGTAACGTCACCGATCAGTGGTCAAACTAAAACGTCAACGTCGTCATTAAAAAAACAACCACTTCAGTATTGAAGTACTGCTCAGACCTGACTCTCAGGCTGCGGCGGAGGGAACGGCGTGTACTCCTTCTTCATGCTCTTCTTCTTCGGCTCCTTGCGTTTAGCCAGGTTCTTGTGACGGAACTTGGGCAGAAAACGTTCCCAGTTCTGTGTCCGCAGCTCTGGGTCTTTGGACAGTTCCCGTTTGATCATGAGCGTCTGTGAGAGACAAGTGTACAGCACCGGCAACGACTGAGAACAGCACCAGGTAGTACCGTAGATACACTGTACATGTACTGATTAATCATGATTAATCGTTTACTATGAACTCTACATATTTTTAAACTTCAGGAACCGGAGGTTCTGAGAAGATGGTTTCATGTGGACAGTGACCCCTGAGGGAAAAAAGGGCCGTCTCTTCTGTGTCCTCAGCCCCAGGTTGAGCCAACCATGACTGTCAAACCCGGAGAGCTGGATCTCAGTCAGGTGATCGAGAACAAGGATGGAAAATGTCTTCATTGGACACGAGAACAGCCG